CAATGTCTATATTCTACAATGATAGAACTGTAGTATCAATAGTCTTATCTCTAAACTTTTATCAGCTCATTATGATATAGAACTTTTTTTTTTTGAGATGGAGTTTAGCTCTTGTTGCCCAGCCTGGACTGCAATGGCGCAATCTCGGCTCCACAACCTACCCTCCTGGGTTCAAGTGATTCTTCTGCCTCAATCTCCCAAGTAGCTGGGATACAGAACTTCTAATGGAATCATTCCTTTAGGTCTAGGATTTATGATTCTACCTTATTTTAGGGAAAACATCGCATTACTACAATAAATTTTAATATACTATAAGAGAAATACGGGGTATAATTTTGGACAAGCACGTTCAGCATCAAATCTCTAACAGTTTTAAGTAGTGACCTTTGTTTTATTTATTACATTTAAAAGCAAAGAGGATTGTGATGCCTAAAAAATACCGGACTAACAAGCCATACCAAACCAGATTAATTGATATGAATCATGTACAACTTTCAGGTAAGAAACAATCTCTTCCACATCCTCTATGAAGCAACCCAAACCCGAAAACTCAGGTGTGTGCATGGTCAGTAGCCAAAATTCAGGATAAAATGATTTCAAAATCATGCTAAAAGTTAAATATTCCATTTCATTATCAAAATTTGTATGTGAATGTGATCAAAACTGCAATCAAAATTTTATGGGCAGTTTTTTTGAACACCTATAATCATGCTCTAAAGTAAAGCAACAATACCACGGAATTACAGTAACAACAAAAAAAACTATTAAAAGTATCTTTAAAAAGCAATAATTTATTTTCTCCTCCTTCCCAGCCAACTAAAAGTCATAGTACAATCTGCAGATTTCCCCACTACTTCCTCTCCTTATTTCCTTCCCCCTCTACTTCAAAGAAAGTTAAGTGTAGACAGCCATGATCAGGAAACCTAAAAGGAGGAAGCAGAAACTTGTTTGTGTGCACAGGGAAGGAAAAAGACATATAACAATACCACAGCATGCTGCTTCAGTAACCTAATTAATATATATCCATTATACTGTCTGAAAATGTTCGTTCAATTTCTCTTTTTAGTCATGTTTCTTTCCAAAATACTACAAACTATAACCTATAATGATTTCACCCTGGAATACTCAACTAAATGTCACCTACAAAGCTGACCAGGGCTGGGTGCGGTGGCTCACACCTCTAATCCCAGCACTTTGGGAGGCCAAGGCAGGTGGATCACCTGAGGTCAGGCGTTCTAGACCAGCCTGGTCAACATGGTGAAACCCTGTTTCTTCTGAAAATACAAAAATAGGCCAGGTGTGGTGGCACACACCTGTAATCCCAGCTACTTGGGGGGCTGAGGCAGGGAGAATCGCTTAAACCTGGGAAGGGGAGGTTGCAGTGAGCTGAGATCTTGCCACAGCACTCCAGCCTGGGCGACAGAGCAAGACCCTGTCTCAAATTAAAAAAAAGAAAGCTGACCAGGTTAACTAACTTAATACTTGCTATCTCATATTAAATACATTGAAATCATTCAGAGAATAGAGTAGGATTCAAACCAATGACTTAGAAGTGAAAGGGCCTGTATTAATCTGGACTCATCTGTTTCCTAACCATTACCTTACTTTATCTTTCTGATGTAATGAAAACTAAGGCTGTGCAACTGCAAAGGAAACTAAAGAAAAACATACTGCTACTGAATAAAATGCTGAGAAATCAAGGAGAAAGGTGGTGGATTGAGAATTCCCAAAGAAAACATTAATTAGATTCACAGCAAATCATCATTTGTGGAAATTTTTAAAACGTGTGTGTACCTACCACTCTAGGCTGAAAAACAACATACAAAAAGGCCATGTCCAAAGAAGAGAATTTTCCCCCACCTACTCAAAAAGTTTATAAAGGATAATTAGCATCCATATTCAAAAGAAACTGCCTCATGAAATTTTAAAAAATGAAAAAGAAACAAGCTCAATTAAAAAGCTTATTCAAGTGTATCTAACTCCCTTTGACTTACAGAGGGTTACCAAAGGCTGACATAGGTCAAGGCACTATTTACAAAATCTATGCCAGTAACAGCTGCCATTTTAAGAAGCCAAGGAATTTAATGTACTGCTTGGACAACTGGTTAAAAATAATCAAAGCCACTCTAATTACATGAACTCTAATTGTTTTTCTTCTTTCTAAAACATTTCTGTATTTCACAAATTTATTTAAATAAATAAATTTAACCATCTTAGGTATCTGTAGTAAATTTTCATTCAAAATGATAAAATAAATATTTATCAGTTGGGCGTGGTGGCTCACGCTTGTAATCCCAGCACTTTGGGAGGCTGAGGCGGGCAGATCATGAGGTCAAGAGACATAGACCATCCTAGCTAACCCGGTGAAACCTTGTCTCTACTAAAAATACAAAATATTAGGTGGACGTGGTGGCACGCACCCGTAGTCCTAGCTACTCAGAAGGCTGAGGCAGGAGAATCACTTGAACCTGGGAGGTAGAGGTTGTAGTGAGCAGAGATCACACCACTGCACTCCAGTCCAGCCTGGGAGACAGAGCAAGACTCCATCTCAAATTAAAATAAAATAATAAATAAATAAATAAATGTCTATCATTTACACACAGGAGAAAATATATTTATAACCTGATCTTATTAAAAAACCCTAACTATAAAAAATGCACAGCCAGGTGCGGTGGCTCACACCTGTAATCCTAGCACTTTGGGAGACCAAGGGAGAGGATCACTTGAGGTTGGAAGTTCAAGGCTAACCTGGCCAACATGGTGAAACCCAGTCTCTATTAAAAAAAAAAAAAAAAGAAAGAAAAAGAAAAGAGAAAAAAGAAAAAAAACACACACAGAAAACTACCATAAACCAGTACTTAGTCTAAAATTTGTAAGAAATTCTAAAACTAAGGTATGCTAGATCCTAAATCAAATGATCTTATGTTAATTCCTTCTGATTTCTTTGAACTCAGAATTCACATTTTTAGAAATACAATGGTTAAAATGTCAAGTCAATCACTTTACCACTGGAAGATACGGTATCCTTTCAGGCAAGAAGGGTGACTTAGTATATATACTAGCAGAGCAGATTAAATAGCTTACTAACAGAGACAATCATACAATTAACCAAACATTGTAAGACTTTAGCTCTTAGGCCTCTGAAACTGTTTTGCAAAGTTAGAGTACCTCCCCCATGCTCCCCCTAGCACATTCTTTCAATCATTGTAATTTTCAAAAACATGTCAAGTTGTAGGCCACCTGGCAAGAGTTTATTTACAAAAGTAATTTCTGCATGACAATTTTTACTGTTCTAAACCAAATCCAAGCTGAAACTTCCAAAAGTGCTAATAATACAATCACAGAATTAAAACATTAAGACTTGGGAGGTTCCTTTGATTTCACCCAGATTCACCTACTCTAAATCCCTCTGACTGGGAGAAATGAAAAGGTCTATAGTAAGCTAAATGGTATTCACAATTAAAAACAAAATAAAACTCCAGGGGAAAGCTCTAACACCTTCACTATTAAACTGAGATTTGCTATGAAATAAATATTATAAACAAAGAACAAAAGCTAACAATACAAAAAAACTAGGCCCTTTAAAGAAATAAGAAAAATCAAATGGAGAGACAAAAGCACTTCTATATAGACTTCAAAACAGGAAATAATGTTTACACTAAATGAACTATCATCTCATTTTGGTGGACCTAATAGAATTATTCTAATTCCCTAAGTATTAGAATTCCATGTACAACAAATCACTGCTCATTAACACAAGCTCTTCTTCTCTCCATGGAAATAATAGCTCTACATTTAATTTTTGAAAAAGAGTAACAAGTCTGAAATAGTATTAACTTTTTACTCCATTAGGAAAAATTTAAACTAGTTCGTGCATCCTTTCTTTCAATGTAATTACTGTATTATTTTAAAACATCTGAATATAAAAAACTTATAATACATACATTTAATTCAACCTAAGATCTAAACATACAAATGAAGGATGGGCACGGTGGCTCACGCCTGTAATCCCAACACTTTGGGAGGCCAAGGCGGGCAGATCACTTGAGGTCAAGAGTTGGAGATCAGTCTGGCCAACATGGTGAAACCCCCTCTCTACTAAAAATACAGAAATTAGCTGGGCGCAGTGGTGCGCACCTGACATCCCAGCTGCTCAAGAGGCTGCGGCATGAGAATCGCTTGAACCCAGGAGTGGAGGTTGCAGGGAGCCAAGATTGTGACACTGTACTCCAGCCTGGGTGAAAAAGTGAGACTCTATCTTGGAGAGAGAAAAAGGAAAAAACCACACACACACACACACACACACACACAAACTTCTGTGAGTTTTACTTATACCTGAAAAAATTAACTGATACTTTCAATAGAAAATCCTAAAAAATACTTAGCTTATTACTTTTGACGAGTTTCTTCACACAATTAAAATCTAGTAGTCAACTTGAAAATGTTTTCCTAATTAAATGTATTTGTTGGGGGTGGGTGGGACTTTAAAAAAAATAAATGAATGTATTTGTAGTTAAATTACAATAATGGAGAACTAAATTTATAAATAAAATATTTCAATTAATGACAACCCAAAAAAAAATTCTCCTTTAAAAAAATGAACTGCTATTATGCTAAACTGATAAGTACACATAAACACTCATCTCATTTAATTATATTAATGACTCAATTCTTAACCTTTAGAGTTGAAGACAATTTATACTAATATTTAACCAATTATTTTCTAATAATGACTATTATTTAGAATGTCATACTTTATTTTGCTTACTTCTGTATTCCTAGCAACATAACACTGCCTGGCTCATGGTAGGTTTTCAGTATATATTGTTAATTGAATAAATAAATCATTTATCCTATAAGAAAAATCGACTGCATTCATTGGGTTTTTCCCACCAGAAGTTAGACGAAATGATACTTAAAGAATACTGTTTAAAGAATGTCTGAATATCACCAAAGTTTAATTAAGTTAAAAATTTTAAAAGTAATCTAAAATTTCTTACCTGGTAGGGCTGAAAGGCACTATCTTCAGTTAAAAACTCCAGTTGCTTATCTACAAGGAATTCTACTGCAGTGACTGAACTGGGTATACTTCTTTCAACCAGAGGTTTGAAAGTCTGCCAAGACAAAAAAATTTCTAATGATAATTTTCTGGGTGGTATCCTGAAAATATGAAGGAATACATATCAAGTATCAATGTCATTATCACTACAGACTTAGAATGCCAATTAATATTAATTCTCATATCATAAACTAAAGCTTTTATCTACATCGTAGGATATTTGTGTTTATTTTAAAGGAACAAACTAGATCTATATATGATATGAACATATTTGAGTATACTAAGTCCCAGCTATTTACTTTTTAAAAGGGAGGCAATAATATATGCACGTGTGTAAAAATGTCTGTTTAAAAAGAGAAACTGCTTTTGAAACAGTAAACTAGGTTGGATAGCATATTTACCCCTGTCTTTTTTTAAAACTGTATTATTTCTTATTAGAGAGTAGTTATTATTTCAATTTACAATTTTGATCTAGCTCATTCACATTAAGCAGACTTTAAAGGATCAGGAAGCATCTGGTCTTTTAACTCCACCCCTTTTACTCCCACCCCCGCCCCTGCACCAAGCACAAATAAAAATCCTGCAGCTTTGATGAGAGCAGCATGGAGGAAGGGAGAAGAGAAAGAGGTCAGTAGGAAGTACTACACAAAACCCTATTTGCAGTCAGGTACAGATTTCCACTACTTCTTTTAAAAAAAGTCAATCCAAGGTCATTTGATTCCTTTAAGAAGACACCTTTCACATATGGGATTTTACTCATATGTTGGGTGGGGGTGACAGGGACGGAGCCAGGGGAGAAAGAGGGAGGAAGGAAATAGGGATGACTTGTATACATTTCTTTATGACTATCACACTCATTTTCAAAGTAGATCAATATTAAATAAAAAACAAGTGTCTTATATTCATGTACTATCCTAAAAACTTGAAAATGAAAACAAAATTACACCATTTTAAAAACAGAGTGACTTTACTATAAAAAAATTTTTTTAGACAATTGGGAAAAAAAGTTCAGAAAATGGTATCAGTAGCTAACTCGGTTTCTTAATAAGTTACTTATATCTCATGAAGAAATCTTTCTAGCTACAGGGTGATTTGTGTTACCATTTCCACACAAAACAAAGCTTTTCATATAGACAGCACAAATTCCCAGGTGTTTCAAAATCACTGTTTCCCCTTTCTCTTATTATGTCTTTAAAAATACATAACATCTTAATAACAATAAACATACTCCAGGGAGAAACTCAAGATCTTCGGTTTGGAGTGGCTTTTAGGGAGTTAATTTCTATATTTAAGAAATTCCTAAGAAGAATTTCAGGTTGACTCACTGCAATCTGTAACAATGTTTCAAAGTCAAAAATTTAATATAAAATTTAAGCAAGACTTATTTCCACACTGTCTACATCACAAAGTTACAAATAATATTTTTTTCTTAATTAAAATAACACGAAAAAAGTTATCTTACATTCATTCTCACTTTTCACTATTTAAGATCAGAAAATCTAATCGCAGTAACATCTTCTCTCCTATATCCTAGGCTAACCTATTAAGCACCGTATTATCATCAAAAGTATCTGTATTTGGGTGAGAAATCACATTTTCAAAATAGAAATCCTCACATTATTTACCTATTTCTTTTTAGGGTTCTCATTTAACACTTCTATTTACATAAAATCCTATAGGATTTCATAAAATCATATTTATTATTTTACTTAACAAGTGACAAAAAGTTTATAATAAATTTAAGAGCATTCATTGTATTTAGGCTTTAAAAGTGTCCACCACTATGTGATCGACTGACATGAAATATGTAACATGAACAGAAATATTATTCGGCTGATCTCTACTGTAAAAAATGTTTTTTCATATTATATCTCTGTCAGTTTAGTTTTTAAGTAAACTAGAAAACACTGTCATGTTCTCAAGAGGACTTTTAATCCTTGAACATTATCAAATGATCTATTTCTTTTCAAACAATACCATGTCAGGTCAACCCATGAAGGTTAACAAAAAGGTCCACAAAAGGTATTATCTAAGTGGCTAAAGATACAATTCAATTAAGTAGGATTTGAAAACGAAGTAAAGTTCTCCTTTTGGAGTGCCTCTTTCTTACGCAAATAATACAGGTGGCTTGCATTTCCTATGAGTCCTCGTCATTTTATAATATGAAAAACATTCTTCTGAATAGAGCTCTGCTTTTCAAGGTAGAGTTCTAAGGGTAAATTTCAACAAGCCAACCTATAATTTAAATTATCCTAAGTTAATTAGAAAAAAAAAGATTTCAAAGTTAAAAAAAAAATTGTCACATTTTAAAATACCTCATTGAAAACCAAGTAAAATTTGGCTACCAGAAATGTAAGAAAACTAGTTGACAATGATCAAAATTGAATACTCTTACAAGGACATGAGTACTTATAATCATTTACAAATGGAGGTCCAAAGTATATCACGCTTCTTAAATAGCAAATAAAAAGTACTGATAAATACTTTCATAGTATTTGTTAAAGAAATGTTTCAATATTTATTAAATGAGCAACAGTGAATATGTGTGACTGCTCTACTTTAAGGAAAAATGAAAGGCAAACAACATATGAAATGATATTAAAATACACCTTGGTTTCTTTAACTGACAAACCAATCATGTAACTATTGTTAATTTTTGTATTAGTTTAATATATTTCAAAGAAATATAAGTTTTAAAATAATAAACATTTAAATAAAAACAAATGGATCCTATGGCTGGCATGATGAATTTGTAGTAAATAGTTCATGGGTCTAGGTACACTGGAATGTAAAGACACTAGAACTCATGCATAACTAATTAAACACTCTAAAGATGAACATTCTATGAGGAACTTCCACAGTCTAAAGGGAAGCAATGAGCTGACATCTGATGAAAGTCACAGCAGAATATGGCCCTAATCACAAGGCTATTATTTAAATACTGTAAACACACTAAATGTTCAGTTGAAACAAAACACTTTTTCAATTTTATTAATGGATTGAGGGTGTTTTCTAAGGTCATTTATCAGTGTTAAACATACTTTAAAAATAGTCTACGGCCCAAATAAATATAGTTGAGAGTCTGCATTTCTAGTAGGGCCTACCAAACTATAGGAAGAATGCTTAGAACAACTGTATCCTGTTTGGGGCTCCATGCTGCACCACATTCCATTCACATGAGGAAGAGGCGAACAGATGAGCCCTCCCCGAAAAACATTTTTAAAATAAATCAGCTACAGCTCTTAAACACAACTCAGCTGCTCAAACGAACGATGTTAAAGCTCACCGTTTCACATTTAACAGGAAATTCGAGGAGCTTATGTCTGCAGTCTTAGTTTCTAACAATCTCTGGTGAACAGTTAACGATTCCAAGTTTTTAAAAATCAGGCTTATTAACTGCAAAAATACTAATATAAAGCTCACCAAAGGTAAATACTAAGGAAGATAACAACCTGAGCAACATTTCAGAAGTTTTAGAAGATTTAGTCTACCAAAAAAAAAAAAAAAAAAAAGACTGCAGTGACTTGAAAGAACAAAGTCCAAATTCCCACCCAAGCAGGTCTATTGAAAAACACGATACTGTTAGAAAACAAGTTGGGGGTGGGGAAGGGAATAACCAAAAGGAAAAAAAAAACCTCACAAAATAAATACCACCCTTCTCTTGAAACACTAGTCTGAAAACCCTAATTTGAAGCACTTCTGCCATAATACTCTAGTTTTTAAATTAACATTTATAATTATTAAATTACTACAAGCACAATAAACCTTTTTAAACAAATAAAAGTTTAAAATTCTTAAAACTAAAAACATTGAGGCCAGATCTATAAAAGGCAGTGACCTTAATTCCTCAGGCTGAGAAGAAAAACCAAATGTAAATTAAGACAAAAGAAAAAGGAAGCAGAAAAATACAAACCGTACTTTGTTCTTGAGAATTTTAAAGTATCTTTAAATCTCAGAAATCCACAACAAGGCTTTAAAGGTCAGTAAGTATTGCTGAAATTTCCATTTTGTTCTTGAAGAGTATTTATCTAGTGTAAATACTTCTTTAGTCTTCAAAAATCACAGGCAAATGGCTCTCAAACCAAGCATTTCTGAGCTCACTTGCAGCGGCGTCATTGTATAGGAAGAAAAGCCAAGACCACAGAACGAAGCAGGAGCTGTAACCTAACAAGTCTCCGACGAGCAAATGACGATTTTCTGTCTGCTCTGGCTCAGCCCTGGCAGTGATGAGGATTACAACTCGCTCTTTGTCATCAGCGCTGTGGTGTTAACGACTGAGAAATCCTGCAGCTGAAGCACTACTGCATCCTCCGATCTGGGTCAGGATAATTTCTCCCGAGGTCGCTTATATAACCAGTAAGATACTCCAAATAAAGAGAACAGCCATCCATCAGCTGGAGAAAGCCTTTCCCACTGTACTCTGTCTGCGTGGAAACACAGTGCAGTAGCTTCCAACAGTGCAGACACCCAAATGAGAACGAGTACTTGGCTTAGGGCACACTGAGAGAAGGGAAGAGGCGGTGCTCTGTAAACTGTAACTAATCCCCCGTCACAGGTGCTGATGGAGTCACTTCCAGCACGAGTCACATTACTGGTGATTACTCACTTGGCTGCGGCCATAGAGACTGGCTCATAATTTTAACAACAGACAAAGACAGACTAGTGGCGAGACTGAAAGCTCAAGTTTACTGTCTCCTTCATAAAGCAAATGCAAATAGTACGTTTTTGCTTTCCAGATTTACCAAGGTGAGAAAGTGCAGAAAAGAAATAACGTGACTATCTTTCAAGTTGGCAAAAATAAAGCATCAAATGTACTTTGTATGTTTTTAGGCACGGATTTATTTTTTTAATATAACCATTTTGCCTTGAAAATATTTAAAACTTCAAAATAAATCAATTTAAAATGTTTTTAGACAATAATCACAACGACCTCAGAGGCATTTTACTCAAAAGAAAAACTGGTAATATCTATTTTGGTAGATTTGAAAATACTCCTCAACCATTTTCACTCATTAGAAAAAACAATTTAACCTAGACAGTTCTAAGATACTTAAA